CCGCCCCTCTCTGCAGTGGCTTGGGAGAGTGAGCGGGGCAGCGCCTGCGGGGCGAGACGTGGCCTGGGCAGTGCCTAGGCGGGGGCCCTCTAAGGTGGCCGCTAGATGCCGTTCCGTGGACTCCTCCAGGGAGGGGGTGGGCAGGGGCTGGCTATTGCCGCACTGCCGTCATGCAGCAGGAGGGGGCCCTGGGCCCCCAGGACTGGGGAGTTGCTATTGAAACACCTGGCTCTTGCCCAGCGTTGTTGGGGCACTCGGGGACACGGGCCCTGGGCACACTGAGGCCCAGGGAGGGAAGTGACTTGCCCGCCATCACCCAGCAGGCCCTGGTGCCCAGAGCCTGGCTAATGCTGTGGCCACTAGGCTATGCTACTTCCCGAAGGCTGTGTGGATCGGACCCCTCCCCCCGCTTTGTCTGTGCGGTCCTGGCCTGGGAGATGGGGCCGGCGCTGCGACGCAAGGCGTATCCGGCCTGGCCTAGCTCCGCTGCAGGGGCTGGAAGGAGCAGAGGAGGCAGCCTCCTTTCTAAGCACCCCTCCTCAGTGCCTGGAACAGACATGCTGCCTCACATTTTCCAGCCCTCCCACCCCCACAGTCTGAAAAGCGGCTCTTCCCTGCCCGGCCGCCCCTCTCCCAGGCTGGCTCCAGCGGCTTGGCATTGGCGCAGGGCAGGAGAGAGGGAGCAGGGGCTGGCGATCGGAGGAGGAGACGTTAACAGAACTTTATTCGCCTGCCTGGCGGTACAGCTTAGCATCTGCTCCAGGAGGCAGCCCCCTTCCCCGAGTAAGACCCAGTCTTGCTTTGTCCTTGTCCTTCGTCGGCCGAGCAAGCTGCAAAGATTAACCTCTGTTCCGAGAGTCTGTAAATCTAGACACAAAGCTTAACTCTATCTCCTAAAAGAGAAGGAAATATGTGGAGCTGATAAGTGTGTCTCGCTTGTTCCCCTGCCCCCATCCCGGCAGCCCGTTTCCTGTGGGGAGGCCTCTCTGGGGGCGCTTGTCTGGCCCCTCTGCTGTGGGTAATGAGAACCAGCAGGCTGCGGATGAATGAGGCTCTGTATTCAGCAGGCACAAATTGCCTACCCTCCACGCGTGCACCCCCGGCCACTAGAAACGAGCTGCTGCTCGCAGAGAAGTTCCAGAAACCCCCAGCATTGAACAATAGCACCCCACAGACTGGGCAGGCCCCCGCGCCGCGTGTTCCGTGTGGCCCAGTCCAGCAGCTGGGGACTTCTCGCTCGGGAGAACAGCTGCGAGACCTTTTGCTCGTGGTAATCGAGGGCAGGCAGACTGCGTGTCCGCTGCCAGCCTTACCTGGGCGTGCCGAGCTGCTCCGGGGTGCCGCCTTGCCAAACCCAATCTAACCAATGTGCAGACTACTGTACACCTTTATAGCCTCCTGAACAGGTAGTCTGAACACTGGGCAGGCTGGGCTGGAGTCCGCTCCATGGTGTGTCCTTCCCCCTCCCGGCTCTGTAGCAGACGCTGCTCGGCGAGAAGGATCTGCTTTGTCCTGTCTGACGTGGCAAAGTCTGCAACCGAATCCAGCCTGGAAAAACGTTGTGGGTTTTTCAGGAAATCCTACGGAGGGTGTGGGGCGGCGGTGGCTGGGGGGAGGGCTTAGGTTCGTGGCCTCTCCGCAGAGGCGGACGTCACTTTGGGGGCTGTGTGCGCGCAGCATCTGGAGCCGCAGGCCAGTGGAGTGCTAAACAATTCCAGATGTGGCGTTTCGGCAGCGAGACGGCTGGTGTTGACTCAGTTGGGTGGCCCCTCAACTTTGCTGGCCTGCAGCCTGTTAAATGAGCAGCATCCTTTGGGTCAGATTCCTGAGAGCCGCTCTCCCCCTCTCCGTGGCCGCTGTTCCTCAGGGCTGTTGGAACACACGAGGGTTCACGGCGCTGCTGCAGCTGGCACTGGGTCCCGGCCGACAAATGAAGCCTCTGTCCTAGCACCTCCCTAGAGAGGGAAGGAGCTAAGTCCTGTGCCCCGGGCCTGCGTGGAGCAGTGGCTGCCTGGCACCTTCCGTCTGTGGCTAGTGACTAGACCCCTCCTGTGCGGGACTGGGGCCATGGGCCTGGCACTGGAGAGCGCTGCCCCGCACAGCGCTTACCTTGGCGTGAAGCCCCAGGCAGAACCGTCCTTCCCTATACGCAGAACAGGCAGCTGTGTGGGGCACCCCTGGGTCTTAGTGTCCCCCTGGCTCGCCTTAGCCCCGCTCCATGGCTCCGCGTCCTTCGGGGAGGATCTAGCTGACTTCAGAGAGGCACGGCCTGCCCGAGACACAGCAGCACCTGACCCTGGGACGGAGCCATGGAACAGGCACGGGCCAGCCCCAGCTCTCTCCGGCCTGGTTCCGAATTCACCGTGGTACTCGGCAGGCCCCGAGTTTGCAGTGGGCTGTAATGTGTTTCAGTGCAGTGGCGCTGGAGACGATCCAATCGCAGCTCTGAGACGGTCTCGCCCTCCATCAGGCCTGGCGCCCGGCACAGGGCGCCTGTTGAACAGTGCGGCGTATGGCTCCTGAAAGCGGCTGATACCGGCCCGGTCAGAGTCCACGTGGTCCTCTCGGGCCCTTGGACCGACCCAGTCCTGTGGGTGGCAGCTCCTGTGACCGACCCCAGCAGCTCGGCTGAGCCCAGTCTGTGCCTCAGCCAACGAGCTGGGATGTGGAGGGAACCCCCCCCCCATGGGCACAGAGCCAAGGAGAGAGGGAGGGTTCTCCCCCACAGCGTGGGGGTTGGGAGGAACGGCTGCCTCAGCCCAGGAGCTGGGATGTGGAGGGAACCCCCCCCCCATGGGCACAGAGCCAAGGAGAGAGGGAGGGTTCTCCCCCACAGCGTGGGGGTTGGGAGGAAGAGCTGCCCAGGTCCCAGCCTGACACCCCCCCTCCCCCTCCAGGAGAAGGAGAAGAAATACATGTTGCCCCTGGACAATCTGAAGATCAGGGATGTGGAGAAGGGCTTCATGTCCAACAAGCACGTCTTTGCCATCTTCAACACTGAGCAAAGGTAAGGGCCTGGGGCGGGGCTGAGGCGCGGCCAAGTGTCCGGGTGCCCCCCCACTGCATGTGGTGATGGAAAGGCGCTTCCTGGAGGCGGGCTCGGTTCTCCAGGGCGCTCCCTCTGGCCAAGCCCCTATTGGTGCCTTGGTTCTTCTGGGGGCTGCCTCTGCAGCCCTAGGGAGGAGCCCCTTCCCCTCCCCCGCCCCTCCCCTCCGATTGCAGCAGATGCCTTGGGGAGCCGGCGTCTCCCAGCTGCTCTTCAGCTAGTGCCCCGCGTGCTGCCCCACTGCTCAGCAGCTTTCCTCTTGTTCACCCTGGGTGCTGGGTGCTGTGCGGGGCTCAGCTGGGGGGGAGGAGCGGTGGTGCCATGTGGGGCTCAGCGGAGGCACTCGGGCAGCTGTGATCCAAGAGGAGGGTTGTGCTGGGGGAGGAGAGGCTGTCCATGTTTACACAGGCGCTCTGAAGGGATTTCAACCTTGCCTCCGGCGGCCCTGGCCGGGGCTTGGAGCTAGACCGGCCCGCGGGGCAGGGAGGGAGCCTGCCTGTTCAGAGTCTGTGGCTGCCCGTTCTCAGTGTGCCTGCCTGCCTAGGAACGTGTACAAGGATCTCCGCCAGATTGAGCTGGCCTGTGACTCCCAGGAAGACGTGGACAGCTGGAAGGCCTCCTTCCTCCGGGCCGGGGTGTATCCCGAGAAAGACCAAGTAAGCATTGCCTCTGCCTCGCCCGCGGCACAGTCCCTGTGATCCCCGGGGCCCCTGCCGGGATGAGCCTCTTCAATTCTCCAGAGCCAAGTGACTGGCGGAAGGGGGGAGCTGCTTGGGGCGGGGCGACAAAGGCCCCTTCTGGCCTGACGTGCTAGGCCAGGCTGAACAGGCCGGAAAGTGGCGTGGGGGGAAGGGGGGGGACAGAGCTCAGGCCCTGCGGTGGGGTCAGGAGCAGGATTTGAACCTGGGGCCTCCCAGCCCCACCTCTCCGGGGCGCCCTGTCTCTGCTCTGGGCGGTGGAGGAGGAAGGCCCAGCCTGGCAGAAGGGAGGCGTGGGGTCTTGGGGCGCCTGACTGCCGACGCCCTCCCTCAACACCAGCCTGGTCGCGTCTGGCCGGGGCGCCGGGGTCCAGCCCCCGCTGGCGGCTGAGGGATCCCCAGTGAGTCGTCCTGTCACCCGAGCAGGTGGAGAACGAGGACGGGGTCCAGGAGAACACCTTCTCCATGGATCCGCAGCTGGAGCGCCAGGTGGAGACCATCCGCAACCTGGTGGACTCCTACGTGGGGATCATCAACAAGTCCATCCGCGACCTCATGCCAAAGACCATCATGCACCTCATGA